GGTGGATACTCCTTTGAGCTTACCACATTGGCCTTCATTTCATGAACCAGCATGTGACTGTGACCCTCAGCCCCTCCACAGTAAGGGAGGTCCTATCCTCGGTATTCTCAGAGGCCAGTGGGAAGAAGTAGACAATCGAAATGTGGGCAGAACATGAAGAAGACTACCCAAGGCCAACTCGGTAGTGCAGAGGAGGCATATGTGTCTCTGGTCACAAGTGTACCAGGATTGACAGAAGGTGCTGTTTAGGGACTATGGCCACTCTGGCTCTGACACTGTTAGGATGTATGGTTGCACATGTGACGACACTTGTGGTGAGCACAGCATGGGCTGAAGAACTGCCCACTCACTATATTGTATGCCTGAAACTCATGTAGCATTATGAGTCAACTATACTTCAATTAAGGATGAAGAGTATCCTAGGACTTGTAATTAAAGAGCAAAATGAGGGAGACCCAGCTGTGGAGGACATGTGGGAGTTCAGATGAAACTGGTCTCCTTCCCTGCTCTCCACATGTTCGGTCCACCAATTAATGCAGGATCGAGAGGCCTGCTGGCTACCCCAACAGTGGCTGTCTCTTACTTTCTTTCCCACTAGCCCCAGACTTTGGCTCTGCTCCACCACAGACCAGGCACTCACACCAACACCCTGGACCTCATGTCCTTGTGCATAAAATAAAGAATTGAAGGATTAATCTATTTGAATATTCCTCCTGCACAATGTTTTTTGGACTTTGTTTCTGTGACTCTTGGAAGCGCAAGAGAACAGTCTCCCTGACCACCTAGATACAGAGGCTGGACTCGGTCAAGGCTAATTTGCTCATTCTCCTCTCTGCCCACCCCCCCCATCCCATATTGGCATTCAGATGTTCTGGCAATATTCTTGAAAAGAAATCTCTTTCTGCATTGACTTCCTTTAGAAAGTTGTCAAGACCAGTGTGATCATACTTAGATCAATTTCTGCACTCTGTATTCTCTTCCACTTTTATGTAAATCTATCCTTTATCCAATGCCAAAATACCCCATAATGGAATTTTTCTAGTAAGTCTTAGAATAGGATAAAAATAAGGATGAGCCTTCAAATGTCATTATTTTATTTAAAGATTTTATTTATTTGTCAGAGAGAGAGAGAGAGAGCACAGAAAGGCAGAGTGGCAGGCAGAGGCAGAGGGAGAAGCAGGTTCCCCGCCGAGCAAGGAGCCTGATGTGGGACTCGATCCCAGGACGCTAGGATCATGAACTGGGTGGAAAGCAGCCGCTTAACCAACTGAGCCACCCAGGTGTCCCCATTATATTTTAATAACTGTTTTGTCCATTTGTTTCCCTTGCCTTGATGATATTCTTTTATTTTAATTAATCAATTAATTTTTAGAGAGAGAGAATGTGGCAGGGGGTGGGGCAGAGAGAGAGGGAGAAATTTTTTTTTTAATATTTTATTTATTTATTTGACATAGAGAGATCTCAAATAGGCAGAGAGGCAGGCAGAGATAGAGGGGGAAGCAGGCTCCCTGCTAAGCAGAGAGCCCTATGCAGGGTCATGATCCCAGGACCCTGAGATGATGACCTGAGCCAGAGGCAGAGGCCTAACCCACTGAGCCACTCAGGTGCCACAAGACAGAGAAATTCTTAAGCAGACTCTTTTGTGCTTAATGCAGAACCCGATTGGTACTTGATCTCATGACCCTGAGATCATGATCTGAGCCAAAATCAAGAGTCAGACACTAAACCTATTGAGCCAGCCAGGTACCCCATCCATATAATTTTAGAATTAGATTGTCTATACTTATGAACAAAGCTTGGGGAATTTTTATCAGGACTGTAGTATCTATATATCTAACTGGAAAAAAATATTGACTTCATTACATTATTATTTTCCTCTATGAACACAATTTGGATTTCCATTGATTTGAATCTTCTTTTATTACTTTCATGTGCTTTATAGTTTTTGGTGTATAACTCCTGCTCATAATTTGTTGTTTATACCTAAGCATTTTATTTATTCAGTGTTTTGTTTTTTTTTTTAATTGAAATTCCAACTTTTCATTGGTGGACTATGGAAACACTTTTGTAAAATGACCTTGTATTTTGTGATATTTCCACTCACTTTTAAGTTTCAGGTCTAAACTGAAGTATTTGATCCATTTTGGTTTAGTTTTCCTGTATGGTACAAGATAATAATCTAGTTTTCTTTTGCATGCGGTTGTCCTTCTTACACAATACCACGTATTAAGAAGACTGCATTTAACCCACTGCATATTCTGTCCTTTTTCATAAGTAAATTGACCATTCACCATCTATTGTTGTGTTTATTTCTGGGTGCTCTGTATGTTCCATTTGTCTATGTGTCTTCTGTTATGCCAATACTGTACTGTTTTGATTGTTATAGTTTGAAATCAGGAAGCATGACACCTGCAGTTTGTTCTCTATCAAGATTGCTTTGACTGCTCAGGTTCTTTTGGGGTTCCATACAAATCTAAACATAGAACACTATTCTGCGAAAAATGTGGGATTTGAATTGAACCTGTGGATTGCTAGGGTGGTATAGACATTTTTTTACAATATCAATTCTTTCAACCTATGAGTACAGAATGTGTTAACTTTGTGTTTTCTTCACTTTTTTACATCAATGTCTTGGAGTTTTCAGTGCACATGTCTTCCATCTTCTTAATTAAATTTATTCCTAGATATTTTATTCTTTTTTCTTATTGTTTCAAATGCAACTGAATCTCTTTTATTACTGTAACAGGTGTATGACATTTTCATTAAAGTATCAGTAACATACAATGTCATATTATTTTCAGGTGTACAATATCATGAGTCAACAATTCTATACATTACTCACTCCTAACAATGATAGGGAAAAACTACTCTAAGATGGCTGACCAAACCAGCAAGGGAGTTCCAGTCTCTGTCTCAAAGCCCTTCCAGGTTCTTCTTTCCTACCCCACTTTGGAGAACAACCTCATCTGAACATCCACTGAGAACACCAGTGGGCTCAGACTAGGTTGCTCTCCAAAGGTCTGAGCCCTGAGCACAAGTAGGGAGGGGGATTTATACCCTTCTCTACTTCCGCATACTTGGTACTTTTGGCGCATGTGGGAAGTGGGGTAGGAACAACCTAGTCTGAGCCCACTGGTGTTAAATAAACCTCCGATCCTCCAAAGTCTCTGAGTGCCACTTAGTTCTTCTACCAGGATCCAGTCCATGTTATGCAACATTTGGTTCCCTGACCGGGAATCCCACCACACTGGCCCATTGTTGCCACCAGTTTGCGGCAATGGTGGGGCAGTGATGGAAGGAGTGATCGTAAGGGAGAAGGAGCGCCTGCCTGATTTCTGGCAGTCTCCGGCCCAATCTCCTCAGGCCAGCCCTCCCTGCTGTTCCCACCCAGATTCAAAGGAGACTTCACAGGTGAGGACCTGGTCCCAAAGTCAGATTCTGGTAAGACCTGGGGCCCCAGGACCCAGTCAGTCCCAACTGTGAGGGTGGAAGGGGAGACTGATCACCTCCCAGAGACCTCTTAGAAGTTCTCACAGGTCGGGCCTCCCGGGCAGAGGTCCTTCAGGTCAGGAACCACCCCCCCATAAGGGGGTCAGGAAGGAATTTCCAGAAGGAATTCCATAGGTCAGGGCCTCCTGGAAGTGAGGAACTGTAATAACTTCAGTGTGAGTGTGTGCGTGAATGTGCAGTTTGACCTGGCTTGTTGGGTGGACTGATTCTGTGGCTCCGTGTTTGGGCACCCTTAGGGTCCCCAGAAGACTATGGAGTCCAAGTGTCCCTAACCTGCTTCCATGGTGATCTCATAGGGTCTAAGGGTCTAAGGGTGCCAGTGTGGTGTTCATGTGGACTAGCTAAGGCTAAGAGGCACCCAGGTGTTCTCTGGAATGGCAGACAGGGGAGCAGCAGCTCTTTCTGCCCATGGGTCCTGTCCCCATGCTTTAATAAACCACCATTTTGCACCAAAGAAGTCTCAAGAATTCTTTCTTGGTCATTGGCTCCAGGCCTCACTTATATTCTAAAACTTCATTGTTCAGCACCTGAACAGGGGACTGTGAGTCTTTACATTTGTGCAAAATTGGTGAGTACTTTTTCTCCTCTTCCTTTAGTCTCATCTCAGGGGCCTTTCAAGGAGTATGGTCTTACTGGAACACTTGCATATCGATTGCTCAGGCTGTAATCCTTTAGCCCATGGCTACTCTATGGGGAGGAGAAATTCTGCCTTTTGGCTGGAAGTTACTACCTTGGCCTGAATGGTAATGAGACCCAGAAACTTGATGCTCTCTCTTTATTCCTGTTCTTCTATTAAGTTATCTGTCTTGGGCACAGGACAACCACATAACTCCTCAGGATGGCTGCCAATCTTAAGACTCCTGTGTGAGGTTTCCTCCTGATTGATCTAATGCTATCCCCTCCACATCCCTGGCTTAGCCACTTCTGGCCACAGGACCTCTACTGAGAGCCAGCTGAAACCGAATTAAAATGCATCCAGGGACAGTTTCCTAGGGAAATTGGCTGTAAGGACCAAGTGTGTTGGAATGTCACATAGACCATGATGGATTTCAGCCTTTACTGTTTCTTGACAGTGTCTTCTACAAACTACTTAAAGATACAAAATTTGGTAATTTCCCCTTGTAAAACTTGTATTTTCCATGGGTTAAAAATGGCAAAACAGTATGCAGTCTTCAGGACAGACAATGGCATGGCATGGCACGGTATTTCAGTCCATTCACCAGGCACCCATCAGCAGCCTAGGATGCGATGAGGAATGGTAGGGGCACTGGCTCCCCTCCAGGGCCTTTTACAGCAGGAATGTCTTCCCGGGGAAGGCAGGATCATGATCAGTATCGATGTTTTGTTGAGGGACACCTCTGGTCACTTTTGACACATGGGGACCTCTGACATATCCTGCATGGTATGCCACCCAGGAGTCGGGGTGGGGGGGATTTGGTAATGGAACTTCTTTACTTTTCTGGGAAAATGGCCTCAGTAGGCTTCTTCAATTCCCAAGGACTCTACCTTGGGGTGCCTTTTAACCCACTGGAAATAATTTGGATTGCAAAACTTAAGAAAGAACTGAGCTCTTGTAACTGCATGGCCCAGTGGGATCTATCAGTTAGATCTCCTCTGAAGGAAACAGGGCAAATGGACCTAGGATACCTTCATTGCTCATAACTAGGCCTCCTTTGTTCTACACCAGGACCCTGACCTAAGGGCCTTTGCAGAATGTGTTTGCCCAAATGGGTCAGCTAGTAAACTCCCTCCTGACACATTGGATGATAATTATGTAAAAAAAAAAGCCTTCTCCTAGTAAACCCAGGTTGCTGGAGGATACGCAGGCCATCCCTAGCAAAGAGGACTCTGACTTTATCTCTGTTCCTCCCAAAAGATGTGGGGTTTCTTCCTCCCTCATTTCCCAGGTTAATGGCTATAACTGGAGCCAACTGGGGTTAGTCTAATTCAAGGCAGAGACTTTAAGGAATATTTCTCAGCAGCTGCTGAAACTCCTTTTGTTTCTGTCTTCTCTGGCCCAATAACATGATGCCTTGTTGGCATGGAAAAACATGGGACCTGCTCCTCTGGAGCTGATGATGGTCTGAACCGGAAACACTTTCTCTGCCCTCTAGAAGCACTTTGTTTCTTCTGCCTCCCCATCTCCCTTTTTCCTGTTTCTGCACCACCTTGGGTGCGTCCTTCATTACTGGCTTCTAGACCATCCTCAGTGCCTCAGGCACCACTGTCAAGGAGCAAGAAGAGCACTCACAGGACCTAATACCACCCACTCCAGATTTCCCCACGTGTCCCAGGTGAAAATTGACCATGGGGAAGATCCTGGTGGAACATATGTCTGCACCTAAACTAAGTTTGTTGGTTTAGTTCAGACAGATGTGTCTTTTAAGTTATCAGTGGTAAATGTGAAACTTTTATTCTATCAAGGTTTACTGAAGGTCAGATAAGCTCATTACCTCTTGAAATTTGTTAGCAAAGTGATGACTAAACTGATGGTTAATTATCTCAGAGTTTTCATGGGTAATTGTTAATATAGTTTTCAAAGTCTTTGGTAACCTGAAATTTTAAAGTTTTGGTTGGATGACAAATGGAATTAAATTGTGGACATCTAGGTCTTTCCCAAATGGAATAAAATGTTAAAGCATTGATTACTGGACATAAGTTTGTGCCTTTGACTCCCTACTGCAAAGAAACTAAGGATATTTAAATCTGTTGGTAAACATGTTTTGTGCCTGATTCATAAATTTGCCATCTAAAGAATTCTGTTTTAACAGTTCACAAATGGTTAACACTCAGCCATCACTAGATGTTAAGGTGTTTCTGAGAGTACAAAATTCTGCTAACTGTAACTATGACTGATGGAAATAAGGGAAATTCAGAGATATGTAAGAAAGATATAAGGAATGGGAATGCATTTTGTTAAAGAAAAAGAAATTTTGTCCTAAATGAGAATGTTGTTTCGAAGGAAATGGCTCGGGACAAAACCTAAATGCAAAGGAAAGTTGTAGAAGGTTTGTGAAAGGAAATTTTCAGAAAAAGAATTTTAAGTGTGGTCATGATGGACTAAGATTGAAATGAATTTTTCGATATAGAAAGCTGCTTTCTCCTGTTTAATAAAAGGACAAAGTTTTCTTAGGTTAACTTATTAGCTGTTAAGAAGAAAATGTAAACAGTTGTTTCCTCTTTGCATATCCAGGAAAAAAAAAATCATTTTCCACATTTTGCCTTTATCAGGTGTTTAATTTAATTTCTAATTATATTTACACATGTGCTTTAAAACTTTCTAAGATTTTAGCAAATATTGACAATATTTAAATTGTAAATTAAAGCTTTTTAACTCATTAGGCTTTCCTTGGTATGCTAAGTTACACAGGAAGTACTGCTAAACAAATTATAAACCTTGGGTTATATTTGGGTAAATGCTATAAGGATTCTAAAGGTTCTAGACATTTCCTAAAGTTTTAATGTTTTGATTAAGGTCATCATTTGATATTTAATTATTGAAGTGTTATGTGTCACAGAAATAATCTGATTTCCTTGCCAGCTAAATTATAAACTCTCATCTCATCAGCTCTTTAACCATATCTATTATGAGTTTTTGTCATTTATACTTTTTTGAAAATTAATTTTCAGTGTAACAGAATTCATTGTTTTTGCACCACATCCAGTGTTCCATGCAAGGCATGCCCTCCATAATACCCACCACCTGGCTACCCGAAACTCCCACCACCACCCCTTTCAAAATCCTCAGGTTGCTTTTCAGAGTCCATAGTCTCTCATGGTTCATCTCCCACTCCAATTTCCCTCCAAATCCCTTCTCCTCTCCATCTCCCCATGTCCTCCGTGTTATTTGTTATGCTTCACAAATAAGTGAAACCATATGATTATTGACTCGATCTGCTTGACTTATTTCACTCAGCATAATCTCTTCCAGTCCCGTCCATGTTGACAAAAAAGTTGGGTATTCATCCTTTTTGAAGGAGGCATAATACTCCATAGTGTACGTGGACCACATCTTCCTTATCCATTCGTCCATTGAAGGGCATCTTGGTTCATTCCACAGTTTGGCGACCATGGCCATTGCTGCTATAAACATTGGGGTACAGATGTTCTGTACAGATGTCATTAAGTCTGTATCCTTGGGGTAAATACCCACTAGTGCAATTACACGGTCATACGGAATCTCTACTTTTAATTTCTTGAGGAATCTCAACACTGTTCCCCAATGTGGCTGCACTACCTTGCATTCCCACCACAGTGTAAGAGGGTTCCCCTTTTTCCACATCCTCTCCAACACATGTTGTTTCCTGTCTTGCTAATTATGGCCATTCTAACTGGTGTAAGGTGGTATCTCAATGTGGTTTTAACTTGAATCTCCCTGATGGCTAGTGATGATAAACATTTTTTCATGTGTCTGATAATCATTTGTATTTTTTCATTTTCATTGTCTGTTCATATCTTCTGTCCATTTTTTCATATGATTATCCGTTTTGTGTGTGTTGAGTTTGAGAAGTTCTTTATAGATCCTGGATATCAAACTTTTGTCTGTACTGTCATTTGCAAATATCTTTTCCAATTCCGTGGGTTGCCTCTTTGTTTTGTTGACAGTTTCCTTTGCTGTGCAGAAGCTTTTGATCTTGATGAAGTCCCAAAAGTTCATTTTTGCTTTTGTTTCCTTTGCCTTTGGATCCATATCTTGAAAGAATTTGCTGTGGCTGATATCAAAGAGATTACTGCCTATATTCTCCTCAAGGATTCTGATGGATTCCTGTCTCACATTGAGGTCTTTTATGCATCTCGAGTTTATATTTGTGTATGGTGTAAGAGAATGGTCAAGTTTTATTCTTCTACATATAGCTGTCCAATTTTCCCAGCACCATTTATTGAAGAGACTGTCATATTTCCACTGTATATTTTTAACTGCTTTGTTGAAGATTATTTGACCATAGATTTGAGGGTCTATATCTGGGCTCTCTACTCTCTTCCACTGGCCTATGAGTCTGTTTTGATGCCAGGACCATGCTGTATTGGTGATTACAATTTTGTATTAAAGCTTGAAATCAGGGAACATGATGCCGCCAGTTTTGTTTTTCTTTTGCAACATTTCTGTAGTAATTCAGGGTCCTTCTGATTCCATACAATTTTTTTTTCATTTAATAGCTGTTGCAGCTCAATTTTTAAAAATATTTATTTCTTTTCAGTGTAACAGTATTCATTGTTTTAGCACCACACCCAGTGCTCCATGCAAACCGTGACCTCTCCAATACCGACCACCTGTTTCCCCCAGCATCCCACCGCCCGCCCCGTCAAAACCCTCAGATTGTTTTTCAGAGTCCATAGTCTCTCAGGTTCACCTCCCCTTCCAATTTCCCCGAACTCCTTTCTCCTCTCAATCTCCCCTTGTCCTCCATGCTATTTGTTATGCTCATGAATAAATGAGTAAGTGAAACCATATGATAATTGACTCTCTCTGCTTGACTTATTTCACTCAGCATAATCTCTTCCAGTCCCAACCACGTTGATACAAAAGTTGGGTATTCATCCTTTCTGATGGAAGCATAATACTCCATAGTGGATATGGACCACATCTTCCTTATCCATTCGTCCACTGAAGGGCATCTTGGTTCTTTCCACAGTTTGGCGACCATGGCCATTGCTGCTATAACCTTTGGGGTACAGATGGCCCTTCTTTTCACTACATCTGTATCTTTGGGGTAAATACCCAGTACTGCAATTGCAGGAACATAAGGAAGCTCTATTTTTAATTTCTTGAGGAATCTGCACACTGTTCTCCAAAGTGGCTGCTCCAGCTTGCATTCCCACCAACAGTGGAAGAGGGTTCCCCTTTCTCCACATCCTCTCCAACACATGTTGTTTCCTGTCTTGCTAATTTTGGCCATTCTAACTGGTGTAAGGTGGTAACTCAATATGGTTTTAACTTGAATCTCCCTGATGGCTAGTGATGATGAACATTTTTTCATGTGTCTGACAGCAATTTGTATGTCTTCATTGGAGAAGTGTCTGTTCATATCTTCTGTCCATTTTTGGATATGATTGTCTGTTTTGTGTGTTGAGTTTGAGGAGTTCTTTATAGATCCTGGATATCAACCTTTTGTCTGTACTGTCATTTGCAAATATTTTTTCCCAGTCCCTGGGTTGATTCTTTGTTTTGTTGACTGTTTCCTTTGCTATGCAGAAGCTTTTGATTTCGGTGAAGTCCCAAAAGTTCATTTTCGCTTTTCTTTCCTTTGCCTTTGGAGACATATCTTGAAAGAAGTTGCTGTGGCTGATATTGAAGAGGTTACTGCCTATGTTCTCCTCTAGGATTCTGATGGATTCCTGTCTCATGTTGAGGTCTTTTATCCATTTTGAGTTTATCTTTGTGTACGGTGTAAGAGAATGGCCGAGTTTCATTCTTCTACATATAGCTGTCCAATTTTCCCATCACCATTTATTGAAGAGACTGTCTTTTTTCCACTGGATATTTTTTTCTGCTTTGTCGAAGATTATTTGACCATAGAGTTGAGGGTCCATATCTGGGCACTCTACTCTGTTCCGCTGGTCTATGAGTCTGTTTTTATGCCAGTACCATGCTGTCTTGGTGATCACAGCTTTGTAGTAAAGCTTAAAATCAGGAAATGTGATGTCCCCAACTTTATTTTTGTTTACCAACATTTCCTTAGCGATTCGGGGTCTCTTCTGATTCCATACAAAATATAGGATTATTTGCTCCAGCTCTTTGAAAAATACCGGTGGAATTTTGACCTGAATGGCATTAAAAGTATAGATTGCTCTAGGCAGTAGAGACATTTTAACAATATTTATTCTTCCGATCCAAGAACATGGATGGTCTTCCACCTTTTTGTGTCTTCTTTAATTTCTTTCATGAGTGTTCTGTAGTTCCTTGAGTACAGATCTTTTACCTCTTTGGTAAGGTTTATTCCCAGGTATCTTTTGGTTCTTGGTGCTAAAGTAAATGGAATCGATTCTCTAATTTCCCTTTCTGTATTTTCATTGTTAGTGTATAAGAAAGCCACTGATTTCTGTACATTGACTTTGTATCCTGCCATGTTGCTGAATTGCTGTATGAAATCTAGTAGTTTGTTGGTGGAGTCTTTTGGGTTTTCCATATAAAGAATCATGTCATCTGTGAAGACAGAGAGTGTGACTTCTTCATTGCCAATTTGGATACCTTTTATTTCTCTTTGTTGT